CAGATTCAATCCAGCCTAGTCCAACAGGAGCATCTGTCCAGGTGTGAGTATGAGGCTCACATTTGGAGCCAGGCCTGCTGGGCACATCACAGTAAGAGATGAGTTTAGGGGCACCAACCAGATCTGAAATTGCATGGCTGACATGTATACATAAGGAACTATTTGACATTGAAATTGGGACTCAAAAGAACTGTTGGTCCAGAAAGGAACTCACTGTAGACTGATTCACTTGCCTCTCAGCATAACCATTATGGCTTTTCTCAGTTTAGGTTCTTACAAGGATATTTCTTAGATCACAAAATCTCACACATCTAGAGGAAATGATGAACAACATAGACTGATGAACAAAAACAGACTCAGAAAGAGAAGCACCGAACAGACTTTCAAACCTTAGAGGAAGGGTGGGGGTAAAGGGGAAGAGATCAATCAAAGAACTTGTGTGCATGCATATGGGCCTGACCAGTGGCCATGGACAACGGCGTGGGTGGGGAAGTGAGGGCATATGTAGGGAAGGGCTTGAGATGGGATTGGGGAGATGATGACAATTATGTGATACCATAATCAAAAAAAGGGAAATAAATAAATAAATAAATAAATAAATAAATAAATAAATAAATAAATGAGTTTGAGAGAGTGGATGCAACTCTCCATCCCCTTCAGATTCCAATATCAGTTAAGCCCTGGGAGAAACTCTCTGTGGAGAATCAGGTGTTATAGGAATCTCTTTCTCGACCCGCATGGAAAGAATTCCATTTCAGGGTTCAGGTTCTGGAGAAGGGCCGCACACAAATGAAAAGAGACTTGAGATTTGAAGAAATTCAATTTGGCAATATGGGGGGCCAGGCGGTAGTCCAACTCTAGTGGGAGAACTACCCCTGCTCTGGCCCTGTCATCCCCTTTTATTAAGGCTTTGGGGAAAACATCTTAGGCAACATAAATGGAAATTTACATGTAGCCCTTAGGCAGGAAATAACAGAAAGTTACATGGGACAAACAATGTGGAAGCTGCTTCAGCTAACAATGTCTCAACTAACCAATTAAGGTTGTTGACCAGCCTTCCTAGCTTCCTTTCAACCTCTCTTTTTAGTGAAACTGACTTGTTTTTCAGCAAGGTGTGAGTATCTACAAGGAATAGATGCCAACAAGTACTCTGATTATGAAAAATAACACTAAGAAAGACTGTCTACAGAGTCTTTGAGGCAGGTAATCACATGTGAGACAACAGAACACTAGAAACTCATTTTCATCAAAGATTGTTGAACTGTCAGAAACAACAAAGGTGAAAATTGAATTATTGGAACAAACCCAGGACTTATAGGATAAAGGTATAGACAATTGTGGAAAAGCATTACTTAAATGTCATAGCAGTAAAAGGAATAAAAATAAAAACATGATTTCATTTAACACTCTCAAAATATTTTATTTCACCACCCAGGAGAGGATACAGCTGAAAATACAAAAGCAAAATTTTAAGACAGTATTGAGGAAATCCTATATAATAAAAGGCTAATATGCAAAAAATTGTCCCCTCAGCCTGGTGTTTGACCAAGTGGTGGGCACATGCCAGGCAACTTCTCGTGGCCCCTCCCCCTGTCCAGCCCTACCCCTAATCACCCCTGATCAGCTCAGGGGTGGGGCCTGGCTGCCAACCTCCTGGCTGCTACTCCCCAGCTGGCCCACCTGATCAGCCCCAATAGGGGCAGGATGGCTGTTCACCACCCATGCATGAATCCGTGCACCAGGCCTCTAGGTTTGTAAAATGCAACATGGAGAGACTGGAATTGAACACTTTAGATGCACGGGAATAGAGAGTTCTGGTCTAGATGGTTGTGTAAGTAAGCATAGTAACAGGAATTTTCCACAACCTTATCAAATTACAGCTAACCTACAGAACATCCGTCATTCAGAACTGCCTGAAATCTAGCCTAACAGAAGTTTAAAACTGAGTGTATACAGAAGCCACAAAGACACTGATAGAGACATGGGGAGGAAAATGGGCTGGTCCCATACCCATGTGTGGTGGTTAAAAATGGGGTGGCAGGGGGAGGCTTGGATATGAAGGTACTTCCTCAGTTGTAGATCCCAGATCAACATCAGAACCCCCAGCCCATGGTTACAGTGCTGGGGAGAGAAGTCCCCATGACTTTTTGTTGTAAAAACCTGCGGTGATTGTGGTTGAGTGAGACAGAGGGTTTCTGAAGTCCCATGTGTTCCTCTAAAAGGGCCTGTGAACACATTCACTGGGAATCCCTGCCCAGTAGCTCTTTAGGACCTATGTTTCAGCTTAAAATGTACCAGAAACATACAGGGAGGAGTTAATTATCATCAGGATTGAAGCTGAGGGGCACTTGCCTCCCAGACAGAAGCGCTGGCAGCTGTAAGGGAATGGAAAGAGAAGACCCATGTGTGTGGTTTCAGGAGGAATGAGGTGAGGATGACATTGGCTACAGACCTAGGGGACAGTGGGCGGCTACTCTTAAGAGAAGCAGAGAGAACACGCAGTGTCACGTGCATGGAGATACACAGGAAACGTGTGTCTTCACAGTTCGTGTCAAGTAGAGAAAACAGATGAGAACTGACTTTATTGTACACCAGCTCTCCTTTACAAATAAAAGAGTGGCCAATGAATATAGTAAAAGTTCACTGAAGGCGAGAATTGTGAGTGTAGAATCTTATAAGCACCCAAATTATTATATGAAAGGGCAAAGGTAAAAAGGACCAGAAGGGAGAATTCTAAGGAAACGAGGAGACAGTGATCGGGTCAGAAAGAGCCACAGTTCAAGGACAGAAGGTCAAGACCTCCACCTGCAAGGAGCAGCAGACAGTCCCTCAGCATATGTCTCACATGATCTTCCAGAACTTTCTGGGCACATGAGATTCACTCCCAAGGGTCCTCCTCTCTGGGTGGGGCATTGTTTCCTCTGTGTTCACATTCTGGCTGCATCCTGGGTCTGATTCTGGCTGTTTCGAGACCAAAATAGTAGCACCCCGAGTGCCATCAGGACCAATCCAGCCACGCCCATCCGGATGGAATTCTCCATGGTGTAGTCTTGGGAGTGGGAGGCTGGGCATTGTGGGCAAAGAGGTCACAGAGATCAGTACAGGACAAACTCACCCAGGACCCAGGATATCCTCCAGGGCACCCTCTCCCAGCCTACATCAACTGTCTTTGCTGAACCCCATTAACTGAAGAGTGTCTCCTACTCACCACTCGTGGGGTCTGAGTTATTCTGTGAGGGGCTGATGGTGTCAGCTGCTCCTGAGAATCAGAAAGAAGTGGGACTGTGTGAGCAGTTGATGCCACTCAAGCCCAGGATCCCCATCACTGTCCCCTTTCTCATGATCTAACTGCTACCAGTTCCACGAGGAATCCTTTCTCTGCTAGAGAAGAGTCAAGTCTGCTTTCATGGATTCTTCCTTGAGTCACGTTGGAGCTCAGATTAGCTTTGCCTCAAGAATTCAGGAGTGTGGAGACATACAGTCCCTCATTGCAGGAAACAATGAGTTATTTCAATCTCTCTTCTCATTGTGAGATTCTAAGCCATGGAAGCTACCTCACTGGTTATAAGAACTTATATTTAAACAAAAGCTGAGAACCAAGTATCTATGGGTTGGTCTCAGACATACAGACATGCATTTATATGTAGACCCTGAGCAATTTTTGAGCTAAGAGTGGGTTCAGTTTTATGAATATGACTGGTAAATGCATCTGAAGAAAAAAAAATACACAACACCTTTGAAGCATCTTTTGTAAGGCATTTCCAGTAGAGTTATCTCTTCTAAGTCCTAAATGTTTGAAGCTTAAATTTATATGTGTAAGTAACTATTGCTTAAAAGCTCTCATAACAAAAGCAATAGTAAATAAGGATGTGCAAAATATGTCAGAGGTTATAATGCTAAGCGAAGTAAGCTAGTGACAGAAAGACAGGGTCAGGGACCCTCACCTGAGACCAGGAGCTCCAGGGGCTCACTGGGGTGTGACAGCAGGAAGGGGGAGGAGGTGCGTGAGCTGTAGCACCTGTAGGTGCCCCCGTGGGCTGAGGTCACAGGACTCATGGAGAACTCTGCCTGGTACTTCCGAGCTTGTTGCTCTGATCTCAGACGCAGGGGGGGATCGGCTGCCCTCTCCTTAGACAGAAGGAACGTGTCCCTCTGGCTCTGTGACTGACACAGCAGGGTCACGTTCGCTCCTGAGGCCACCCAGGGGCCTGGCTGCACCGAGAGGGAGGGTCTGTCAGACAGGTGTCCTAGAGAAATAGAGAAAGAGAGAGGGGGGGGGGGCTGCCTGCCCACCTTGTTCTGACCAGAGAGTCACACAAGCCTCTCTCTGAGGACCCTCCTCTCTGTGTCTCTGTTTCTCTGAGTCTCCCCCACTCCCCTCCTGCCCTGCCTTTCTGTCCCCCTTCCACCATGGGGCCTTCACTTTCCTTCTAACCTCACCACCTGAGACCCCCAGCAGGGCGTGTGCAGAGTCTGGGTCCCTGACTGAGCCCACTGGTTCCTCACCTGCCACCAGGATGTTCAGGGGGTCACTGGGGGCCGACCACTCAGAGGAGAGGTTGTATCCACCATAGCATCTGTACCGGCTCCCGTGGGAGCTGCTCACAGTGCCCAGGGGGAAGTGGGCCTGAGAGAGCCCAGCCTGGGGCTGCAGGACAAGGCTCTGTCGCAGGTCCCGTTCCCCCTCCTTGTGCAGAGCGAATCTGTCATAGCCGACATCAGAGCGACACTGGAGGGTGAGGCTCTGTCCATAGGCCACAATGGGGCCCTCCTGTCTCAGGAGGGAGGGCTTCCCAGCCTCACCTGGGGAGACCAAACATGAATTACAGGGGAACCTCCTCCCATGAACCCCTTCTACTGGCCTGGATCCCAGGTCTCACTGTGTCTCAGTGTCTCTGGCCCACTTCATTCCACCTTCTCACATGGGGCTCCCTCACAGCAATGATGCCAACAACCTGGCTGATAGCTCAGTCCATGGATGGAGCAATAACTGGACTCACCTGGGACCAGGAGCTCCAGGGTGTCACTGGGTTGTGAGCACACGTGGGGTTTGTTCCTGAAGCAGCCATAGCATCTGAACGTCTGCCTGTGGATGGGGGTCATGGGGCCCACAGAAAACAGGGCCTGGAACTGCCTACTGGGCTGTCGCTGTGAGCTCAGGGCCCAGGAGAGTCTATTATCTCCTTCCTTATTCAAAAGGAACCTGTGATATCCCTGCCCTGAGCCACACTGGAGGGTCACGTTCCTTCCTGAGGGCACGACAGGGCTGGGCAGGGCTGAGAGGCTGGGTTTGCTGAGGGATCCTAGGAGAGGAGGAGGCAGGGTGTTAAATGGGACTCATACCTCCCTCATGTCCCCCAGGACTGGGCTTTGAGAGGGAGACACCCTGAGAGCAGACCCCCTTCCTGAGGGCAGAGCCTGAGGCTGGGACTCCTGAGTGTCCTCTCACCTGTCACCACCAGCTCCAGGGGGTCACTGCGCTCCGACCAGACAGTGAGGCTGAGATAGTAACAGTGATATATCCCTACGTTATTCTCTGTCATGTATGTGATGGAGAAATTGGCCTTGTTCCCAGGCTCCAGTGGAATCTGTCTGTCCCAAGGCACTGGACTTCCCTCTTTATCCAGACGGTACTCCTCAGCCCCTGGGGTCCCCTGACACCAGAAGGTCAAGGGGTTCCCCCAGGAGACCACAGGGCCTGGCTCAGCCCAGAGGGTGGGTTTGGGAAGGGGCCCTGGAGAAAACAAGAGGCTACGTTACAAAGGTCTTCCCCACCCGCATCCTACAGCTCAACCCAAGACACTCTTTTGTATTTCTTCCATCCTAGCCTCACCTCTCCTGGGCACAGGGCTCTGAGCTGACAGCTCAGCAGACAGGGTCAGGGGCCCTCACCTGAGACCAGGAGCTCCAGGGGCCCACTGGGGTGTGACAGCAGGAAGGGGGAGGAGCTGTCTGAGCTGTAGCACCTGTAGGTGCCCCCGTGGTCTGAGGTCACAGGGCTCATGGGGAACTCTGCCTGGAACTGCTGAGCTCGGTGCTCTGATCTCAGACGCAGGGGGGGATCGGCTGCCCCCGCCTTGGACAGAGGAATGTGTCCCTCTGGCTCCGTGACTGACACAGCAGGGTCACATTCTCTCCTGAGACCACCCTGGGGTCATGCTGCACTGAGAGGGAGAGTCTGTCAGGCAGATGTCCTAGAGAGAGGAAAGAAGGTGAAGGCTGCCTTTGCACCTTGTATCTTAAAATCTATCTCATAACTGTATAATATGCAAATTGTTGAGGACGCCATTATGTAAGGACCAATCAGCCGGCTGTGTTCCTGCCCCCTGTGCCTGCCCAAGATATGAAGCTCACATTCCAATACTAGTAATGGCCTGGGGATTGAGGCTCATGTCCCTGACCCCTGGGCTGTCTCGGGAACTTGAGGATCATGTCCCCGCCCCTTCTCAGCTGTCCTACCTCTTTGGGGCAATCTATTAAGGAGCCTTAGATGGGTGGTTGGGGCCTACCTCTTTGCTGTGATGGGTTGTGGGGCTCCAGCACTGTGATGGAGCACAGGCCAGGCTTGGGGAACCGCCCTCCCTGCCCCCTCCTCGAGTGCACAAATTTTGTGCACTGGCCCACTAATTCATATATATATATATATATATATATATATATATATATATATATATATATATATATATATATTATGGAGAGGAAAGGAGAAGGACAGAGTGATAGAAACATCAATGATGACAAAGAAGATATAATCAGATGCCTCAAGCATACCCCCTACCTGGGCATTGATCCTGCTACCTGGGCATGCAACCTTACCTGGAATTCAATCATGACCTCCTGGTTCATAGGTCGAAGTTCAACCTATGAGCAATGCTGAGTGGGTTGCCTACCTTGATCTGATCTGAGAGTCATCAGGCCTCTCTCTGAGGACCCTCCTCTCTGTCTGTCTCTGCTTTTCTAAGTTGCTTCCTCTCTCCCCAACCCTGTCTCTCTCCCTCCCAGGGGTCCTATACTTTCAGTCTAGCCTCACCACTTGAGAACCCCCCCCCCGCCCCCAGCAGTGCCTGTGCAGAGTCAGGATCCCTGACTTAACCCACTGGCTCCTCACCAGCCACCAGGATGTCCAGGGGGTCACTGTGTCAAACACTCAAAGAAAAGTTTGTTCCTACTCTAGCATATGTACCCTCCCCCTTGTCAGCCTCCCAGAGTGTCAGGGGGAAGTGGGCCTGAGAGAGCCCAGCCTGGGGCTGCAGGACAAGGCTCTGGGAGAGGTCCCGTCCTCCCTCCTTGTGCAGAGCAAATCTGTCATAGCTGACATCAGAGCTACACTGGAGGGTCAGGCTCTGTCCAGAGGCCATGAAGGGGCCCTGCTGGCTCAGGAGGGAGGGCTTCCCAGACTCACCTGGGGAGACCAGATGTAAACTATTGGGGAACCTCCTCCCACTAAACCATCACCTGACCTGTACCCCAGGTCTCACTGTCTTTCTGTGTCTCTGGCCTGAGAGCCCTTATGATCTGCTAACCTCACTCTCTCACATGGGGCTCCACTCAAAGTAATGACCCTAATAACATCCCAGTTTGGTGCCCGAATGGATGGATGGATTCATAATGAGACTTACCTGAGACCTGGAGCTCCTGGGGGTCACTGCTCTCTGACCAGCCATCAAGGCTTTAATAATAACAGGGATATATTCCAGCATCATTCTCTGTCAGGATTGTGACGCTGAATGTGCCCTGGTCCATTGGATCGTGTAGTTTTGCTCTGCATGGGGGCAATGTGCTTCCCCCTTTGTCAAACTGAAGTCCTGGGCCTCCACTGTCCCCTCACACCAGAGGGTCACATGCTCCCCCAGGACCCCACAGAGTCTGGTTTTGCCCAGAGAGTGGGTTTGAGCAGGGTCCCTGGAAGTAAACTGAAGGCTGCATTACCAAGACCTTTCCCACCTTCCTGTCCTAGCTCAGTGCTAGAACCTCCTTTTCTCTCACCTCATCCCAGCACCTCTGTGCTCCCTCCTGAGCCCCAGGGATGAAGGAAGAAAAAGGACATGGAGCCTGGGGAGGACTCACCTGCCTGCACCTGGGTCCTCTGGTCCAGACTCAGCCCTGGAAGAGAGTCCCTGTGAGAGATTTGCACCCGAATGTCTTAGCTGATTCCTTTCCCATCAGGGCCCATCCACTCCAGCTGCCTGAGCCTGATGGTCCCCATGAACAAGGGGTGCCACCCCTCTCTTGCCCCCCCTCCTAATGTCTACAACTGACCGAGGCAGAGAAGAGCAGAGAAGATGGATGCCATGGCATCTGCTCTGAGGGTTCTGCTCTGCAAAATGGAGGAAGCCTGCGCCTGCAGAAGAGAGTCTCACAGGATGTGATGACTTAAAGGATGTTGCAACCCTTTGGGGTTACCACACCCCACAGCCAGGGGAGGGCCCCGCCCTGAGCGTGGCTCTGCATCTTCCCAGAATGAGGGCTCACGAGGAGTCCAAGATTCAGGAGGCTGGTCTGCAGTGCCTGAGGTCTCACCAGTTCCTCAGGTCTCATGTGTCTGCGTGTCTGACTCCTGCTCAGAGAGGGCGAGCCCCATGTTCTTGTCCTGACTCGGCCCCTGAGAGTCTGGCTCTCAACAGCCCAATGGGACACCCGGCCACAGCTCTTGAGGGAGCTCATTTATGAAAGACTTGGCTGAGCCAAAACCGGTGGTAGAGCGTCGATCTGTGGACTGAAAGGTCTCGGGTTCGATTCTGGTCAAGGGCATGTACCTTGGTTGCAGGCACATCCTAGAGGCAGCTGGTCGATGTTACTCTCTCATCAATGTTTCTAGCTCTCTATCTCTCTCCCTTCCTCTCTGTAAAAAATCAATAAAATATATTAAAAAAAAAAAAAAAAAGACTCGGCTGAGCAGTTTCCCAGTGGCCTCAGCATTTCCATGACTTTCCCTGGTTCGAGTCCTGGTAGGTTCCCATCCCTGCCAAGCCTTCGTGTTTCCTGCCTTTTTAATGTTCATTATTCAGTGTAGGAATTGGTACCACCTTGTGGTTTGATGCATATTTATTTCTCCATTGACTTATAAAGCTCAGCACCGTTTATTTTAAAAATAATTTTTGGTTACTCCTCACCTGAGGATATTATTTCCAATGATTTTTAGACAGGATGGAAGGGAGAGAGGAAAGGAGAGCGAGAGCGAGAGCGAGAGCGAGAGCGAGAGCGAGAGCGAGAGCGAGAGAGAGAGAGAGAGAGAGAGAGAGAGAGAGAAACATTGATCTGAGAGAGACACATGAATAGGTTGCATCCCACATGAGGGCTGGGGATCAAACCTGCATCCAAGGTACATGCCCTTGACCCAGAAGCAAACCTGTGACCCTTCGGTAGTCAGGCTGATGCTCTAACCACTTAGGACACCAGCCAAGGCCAGCTCTCACCTTTACATAATGTCACTGCACATAAGCATGTCAGTATCTGTTGCTTGTTAACGTTTTTTGCTTGCTTTTCCATTGCTCTCTGCTGCTATATAACAACTTGTACATGTGTCCTAATGACCTGGATGCCAGTCCTTGGTCTCAATTAGGCACAGCAAATATCGTCTTCACTGTCTCGCTGTGTCTATAGGAACAGAAGCTCTTCATGTTAATGGATTCCACTGTGTCCATGTCCCCCATAAGTTTGTGTTCTTTGTCCACATTGAGAAAAAAATGTCACCCATAAGCTAGTAAGATAGTTCTCCCTTTCCTTTTTCCCAAAACGTTTGTTTTCCGCCTTGTGATCTGTCGCCCATTTGGCATTGCAGATTGCAAATGCTGTGAGGCAGGTCAAAGCTTCTCTGTGTCCCACAGACTCAGTGTGGCCCAGCACCACGTGATGGAAAGACCACATCACCTTCTGTTTGTACAAGAGTTCTGGCCTTCCCTCTTTATACAGACTATACTCCTCAGCCCTTGGGGAACCCCGACAACAGATAGTCACAGGGTTACCCTGGGGATCATGGGGCCTGCCTCAGCCCAGACAGTAGGTTTGGGAGGGCCCCTGAAAGGAAACCAAAGGCTGGGTTAGAAGGTATTACCCACCCTCTCATTTCTTAGGCACCCCACATCCATTAACCCAGAACCACGGCTCTCCATCTCCCAATGCACAGGCTGTAGTCCCTTGTCCCCAGTGAGAGGGAACCTGGGACACATGGGGCCCATCTCACCTGCTGTCACTTGGTTCTGGAGCTCCACACTCAGCCCTGGAAGAGAGTCCCTGTGAGAGATTTGCCCTTCAATCCTGAACAGCAAACCCCTCTGCAAAAGCCTCCTGAGTCTTGGGGATC